AATTTTCCTTCTAATAATATAACTATGGTATAGGATTCCTATAAGATTCTAATAATAAACCTAAAGTTTCCTATAAGATTTATAATGATACCTATAGGATTCCTATAAGATCTGTCTCTTATACACATCTAGATGTGTATAAGAGACAGTGATTGTTCTGTTGGCTTCAATATTTTTTTAAAGTTTCAATAACCACAACTAGTTTCTTAACATGTACTCAACCGCAATCTACATCATTTCTGGTCCGCTTCACTGCCAGAGGGATTTCCAAATCTTTTTTCAGCAGGTCATGAAACAGCTTAGTATTTTTTAAATTAATTCAAGGCTATTTCCTTCATTTACCTATAGATTTACGTAAGCTTTGTACCAGAGTACGATGCACTACAAATACTTTCGGAACATACTGTAGGGCCTGAATTTTGTGTAGGTGAATAAATTGTTTTGAAGCGAAGTATGGCGATTTGAAAGTTGGTGAATTCATATACGTTTCTTGTAGAATGGCCTTCATAAAATTACTAAATTTTAGGGTTTAGAGTTGAAATATTGAACACAAACTTAAAAAATAGTAAGATTAATGGTAATACTTTATATTTATGATACAATCACATTTTGCTCAAATTACATGTTATACTGTCTATTTTACTCTAAACAACACTCTATAAACAGTCTAAAAAGAAAACTTTTTTTTACAGATAAACATTTCCATAGCGTTTGTATACATTTTATATATACTTACTATAGATGAAACCTTTTTTACAGATTATAAATGTTTCCATAGAGTATATATATATATATATATATATATATATAATATATTTTCTATAGACTATTAAAAGTTACAGTTTTTAAAATGACTCTTGGTTTAGAATATTATATAGTTCTATAGAATATACTATATAAAATATATTTATTTTCAAATTTCATATGCGTTATACTCTATAGAGGTTGTATATGTTCCTATAGAGATAGGCCCAATTCCTATAAAATTTTTATAGTACGTTAAAAAAAATACAGGTAAAGGCCTATAATTTTTTTATAGAATAAATATAGAAATTATATAGTTAGTTTTATTATAGAGAACTTGTCATATCGTTTGTATAGAATATTCTATAGAATTTCTGAATATACAAGATGTAAACATGTTGATAGGACTATACTGGTCAGACACGAATGTGTCAATAAATGAAATTGAATTGAATGAAACAAAAAAAAAAGTTAAGATCATAGAAATTACATTAAATATGTGTACATAGAATGTTATAGAATTCTATAGAAACTAGTTCCTCTATAAAACAATTTTATAGAATATAATTTCTATAGAAATTGATTAATCTCTATAGAAGGTCTATATAGTTCTATAGATTGTTTCTGTAAGGGTACTTTCAAGCCTTTGAAACCTCTAAATTGTCATATTTTTGGGAGATTTTCCCTGCTTCCCTATTCTGCTGAAATAATAAAAAAAAAAAATTATATTATGAAAGTCCTGGCAGTATAATTAACATTACATAGCCAAAGTCTAGGCCTATACTAAATCATGGTGTATAATAAAACATACAACTTTAAAACACAAGTTTAACAAGCTAACAATTAACAGGTGTTGTCATTTAATCTGTTCAGCCAACCACAGATAATCTCAAATTACTTAATTTGATTGGTCACTTTATCCATGTTTATCACTGAAGGCCATGGAAATTAACAAGGTGCTTTTGAATGTTATCAATTAACTGAAATTTGTTAGTGGTTTTAGAGCTCTTTTTCAGTGCACATTCATGATGATGAAACAGGCAGTTTAACCATATTTTCTGAAGTATTTCAGCAGTACTAATAGGTAAGAATTGTTTTTCTATTAATATTCATTTAATGTTGTTTAAATTGGCGCATTAGACTTATTATAATGCGCCTTTTAAGTCAAAAATTGGATTGGTTTGGATTAGATTGGATCT